AGGTGCCCACCACAACGCCCGGCTATTTGTTTGTTGTAGTTTGGCTGGGGGCTGGTTCGAACCAATCACCCTCAATATATGGGAGTCAGCACCCTACCCACTGAGCCACAGGCGCTGCCCAATTTTTTGTTGTTGTTAGTTTGTTTGTTTAGCAGGCTGGGGCCAGGTTTGAACCCACCAATCCTAGTGCATGTGGCTGGCACCCTAACTGCTGAGCTACAGGCACTGAACCCAATGTTTTAATTTTTTTACAACAGACTAAAAAATCTCCTGTAATGCTCCTTTAAAAACAGCTTGGCACTCATAGCACAGTGGTTATGGCACCAGTCACATACACCAAGGGCAGTGGGTTCAAACCCAGTCGGGACCGGCTAAACAACAATGACAACTGCAACAAAAAATTTTGGGAAGTGTAATTGCTAGCAATTCCTCTTAGTTTTTTTTAGGGTTTTTGATAAATATTGTCAATTAGGAAAATGTTTACCATTTCTTACATGTAATTTGTGGGTTTTTCAGGACCAAAAGATGCCACCCAAGCGCATAGCTAAGAGAAGGTCACCCCCAGAAGATGCCATCCCCAAAAGCAAGAAGGTGAAGGGTAAGTTGACCTCCTATTTCTGGGTGTGGGTGGCCTCTTGGAGCCCTGAGAATCTGGGACTATAATCCTTCCTCCTTGACACTTGAAAATGAGGGGCTTGGATCAGCAGGGATGGCTCTCAGCTAAAGGGTTCCTATGGCACATTGAATCCCACTCTTGGGGACTCATAAAGGCACAAAGACTCATCTAAAAGGCAGTACTGGCAAAAAAAAAAAAAAACTAGATCCTAGGGCCTTATCCCAGGTAGTAATGCATTATGGTTAGGACCGTTGATCTCCAGGAATGGGTTCAAGTCCTGGCTCTGCCACTTTCTAGCTGTGTAACCATGGTTGAGTCACTTAATCTTGCTGAATATGGATTATCCATTTGATAAAATTGAGGCGAGAGCAGCACTAACCTCTCTGGGCTGTTGTGAGGATTAAATGGGATAATAGCCTGGCAGTTATTTGAGGGAGGTGGCTGTGCCTTCTTCTCTCCTGAGACCTCCCCTGGAGGACAGGGAGGAGAGAAGAGCCACCCCAGTCTGGGAGGGGCGAGTGTGAACCCAAGCTTAGACGGTGTCTGTCTTTTACAGGCGTGAGGGCTGCTACCTCCCGCCGAGTTCCCGGTTCCCGCTCCTGCCAAGGTGCCTGTGGGCTGAGCCCTCCTACCCAGACAACTCGACCAGGCGGCTCCCTGCCCAGTGCACCCTCTGCGCAGGCCAAGGCGGCCTTCGCCGCTGTGGCCACACCCCCAGGAAAGGGGCTGGACGCCATTGGCCGTCTGGGGCCACGAGCGGCCTTCATTGGCCAGCAGGGGGCCCTGTGCCGCCCGCTGGTTGGTGCCTACCTCTCCGCAAGTGGCTCCATTCACTCTTACTCCTGCTCTTTCCTCTTCAGCGGCTGGTCTGCTGCTGGATAGGTCCTGTAGGGGATAGTTTTCTTCTGTGAATATGCCCAGGAGTTACAAATCACAGCTTGGTAATACAAAGAGTGGCCACGATGGAGGTTGAGGATGGTGCTCTGACCCAGATGGTCTCCTTTGGTTTCAGTGCAGACTCAGCAGACTCAGTTCAGCTTTGTGACCCTGGGGAAGTTGCTGAATTGGGGAGCTCTGTTCCTTAGGATTCTGTAAAGCAGAATCCTAAATCTGGAAAGTATGTAGCATAATTTGGGAGATGCTACATGTGGGGGAGATGACCCCCATATTTTGAGGGTGATTGGTTTGAACCGGCCCCTGGCCAAACTGCAAAGCAGTTTAGAATATGCAGTCAGTAAAGGGTAGACATTATTATCTGAAAGCTGACTGCTGACACCATGGCTCTTCCAGCTAATTAGGAAAACCATGTTGTGTCCTCACTGTCCTCTTTAACCCTCCCTACTAAGATTCATTTCACTGTGTAGATGTCTCTTTGTTTCCATTTCCTCCCTCTCATAATAATGTACTCAGGGTTTTTTGTTTTTGTTTTTTTGGTTTCTGTTTTTTGCAACAGAATCTCACTCTGTTGCCTAGGCTAGCATGCCATGGCATTAGCCTTGCTCAAAACAGCCTCAAACTTCTGGGTTTAAGTGATCTGACTGCCTCAGCCTCCAGAGTAGCTGGAACTACAGTCTTCCACCACACTCCTGGTTAATTTTTCTATTATTTTTAGTAGAGATGGGGCCCCATTCTTGTGCAACCTGGTCTCAAACTCCTGGGCTCAAGCAATCCTCCTGCCTCGGCCTCCTGAGTGGCTGGGACTATGGGCATGAGCCACTGCACCCAGCCAATGTGTTTAATCTTCACAAAAACCCTATGAGAGGAACTTTTGTTATCCTTGTTTCACAGATGAGAAACATAGGCTCAGAAAAGATGATACTAATGGTCTGTGGCAGAGCAGGGGCTTGAACCTAGGTCTGTGTGATCCCAGAGCCCATGAAGTGACCTTCCCTCTGTCCTGTCATCCTACACACTCAGGGCTGTCTTCTTCACCCCTCAGTCTCACACAGGTCCCACAACACAGAACCAGGTTTGGTGCTGACACTGGGCCAGGGCGATGTGGGCCAGCTGGGGCTAGGTGAGAATGTGATGGAGAGGAAGAAGCCAGCCCTGGTGCCCATTCCAGAGGATATTGTTCAGGCCGAGGCTGGGGGCATGCACACCGTGTGTCTAAGCAAAAGTGGCCAGGTAGGTTGTGGGGTTGGCACAGGATTGGACAAGGCCTGGGGTTGGGGGGCTTGGGGCAGGACCTTTGAGCCGCACACTTTTCACCTTGGAGATAGAGCTGACTAGCTAAGCAGGGAGTGGCCTGAGTCAGAATGGACTGAGAGACAGACCTTACACTAATGGGGCATCCTGGACACAGGTCTATTCCTTCGGTTGCAATGATGAAGGTGCTCTGGGAAGGGACACATCAGTGGAGGGCTCAGAGATGGTCCCTGGCAAAGTGGAACTGCAAGAGAAGGTGGTACAGGTGTCAGCAGGAGACAGTCACACAGCAGCCCTCACCGAGGATGGCCGTGTCTTCCTTTGGGGCTCCTTTCGGGTAAGGCTGGGTCTGGAAAACTCCTGGGTCCTGGCAGGTGTAATCAATTGGTAGGGCCCCAAAGGTAATCCACCTTCATGCCCCCATTATGCTTATTGTTGGGGAGATGAAAGCCCATAGGTACAACTGAGGCCCAGACCCAAGTCTCTGGCTTCATCGTCCAGGCCTATCCACACCTCTGGCTGATCCAGGAAGCCCACTGTCCTCACCCATCTCCCTACCTTCAGCCTCCCCCTGGCCATCCAGCCCTCTTCCGGAGGCTTGGGGCAGGGAGGCAGGGATTGTCGCATCCCAGAGATCTTAAGAGTTTTCAAGGCAGAGGAATATAGGTTAATAAACAGATTCAG